AACTCCCCCTCCTATTCCTCAGACGACATGTCCATCCTGGGCCTCCTTCAGTGCCACAACGATGCCACCCGAAGGTTGCAGGAACAGCAACTCATATTCCGCTTGGGAACCCTGCAGCCCAATGGTATCAATGTGGATTTCACAAGCTTCAAAATCTCCCCTCCCCCTACCGCATCCCAAAACCAGTCCAGCTCGTCCCCGCCTCCCTAACCTGTTCTTCCTCCCACCTATCCCCTCCTCCCACCTCAAGCCGCACCCCCATCTCCTACTGACTAACCTCATCCCGCCCCCTTGACCTGTCCGTCCTCCCTGGACTGACCTATCCCCTCCCTAACTCCCCACCTACACTCACCTTTACTGACTCCATCCCCGCCTCTTCGACCTGTCTGTTTCCTCTCCACCTATCCTCTCCTCTATCCATCTTCTATCCGCCTCCCACTCTCTCCCTATTTATTTCAGAACCCCCTTCCCCTCCCCTTTTTCTGATGAAGGGTCTAGGCCCGAAACATCAGCCTTTCTGCTCCTATGATGCTGCTTGGCCTGCTGTGTTCATCCAGCCCTGCACCTTGTTGTCTCGGATTCTCCAGCATCTGCAGTTCCTACTATCTCTGATTCAACCTTTACCAGGATGTTGCCAGGATTGCAGCTCGTTAGCTTTAAGGAGAGGCTGGACAAACTTGGATTGTTTTTGCTAGAGTGTTGGAGGCTGAGGGGCAACACGATAGAAGTATATAAAATCACGAGAGGCATGGATAAGATAATCAGATGGGAATGTCAAATGCTAGGGCACAGGTTTTAGGTGAGATAGGAAAAGTTTAAGGGAAATAATGTGTGAAGAAAGTTTTATGCACAGAGGGTGGTAGGTGCCTGGAACTCGCTGTCAGGGGAGGTGTTATGCGTCAGTACAGGCTTGGTGGTCCAAAGGGCCTGTTCCTGTGCTGTATTTTTCTTTGTTCTTTAGAACTCGCAAGTCCCTTTGTGCTTCAGATTTCTGAAGCCTATCTCCATTTGGAAAATAGTCTACGCCCCTTAGTACCAAGTGCTTAAGCTCACAGTAAGCTTCGCACAGTCAGGAAGGAGAGATCACATCCTGAGTGAGTATATAAATCTGGGAAGACCGAAAGAACCGCGGATGCCGTAAATCAGGAACAAAAACAAAGTTGCTGGAAAAGCTCAGCAGGTCTGGCAGCATCTGTGAAAGAAGAAACAGTTAATGTTTCGAGTCCAGTGACCCTTCCTCAGAACTGAGTTCCCGAAATGTTAACTCTGTTTTTTCCTTCACAGATGCTGCCAGACTGCTGAGCTTTTCCAGCATATAAATTTGGGAATTTGGAGGCAGTGTGGGAATAGAACTTGTAAATCTTTTCTTCCTCCATTTTAAAAGATTAAAATTAGGTAGTCTGGTGAAAAGGTTAATAAGGCAGCTGACTGAGGGACAGTTATCAGTCAATCACCTCAAGCTGAATAGGGCCTTAATAGGTGTTGATTACTATTGAAGCTTAACTAGTGTGAGTTATCTCAGCACACCTCATCTGTATTTAAGAGAGCGTCTGTTGAAAGTGCAGGATCAGTAAGCTTTGCACCATCCGAAAGGAGAGATCACATTGGGATCACTTCACTTGATGAAGGAGCAGTGCTCTAAAAACTTGTGATTCCAAGTAAACCTGTTGAACTATAACCTGGTGTCATGTGACTCCTGCCCTTGTCTGCTGCAGTCCAACACCAGCACCTCTACGTCGGGAGTGAGGCACAGCCCGAGTGAGTATAGTTTGGAGAATTTAGAAACCGCATGGGAATTCGGTGCAGAGGAGATTAGGTGCTTTTTGATTGCACTTTTTTGGCTCCTGGCTTGTAAGGTTTTTTAACAGAATAAATTGAAGGCCAGGATCAGGGCACAGCACAAAAGAGTGACATCACAGGTAAACTGCAAATTAATTTGTTGGTGATATCTCCTAACTTAACTATCTTTTATACATTACTTTCATATAGAAGGTAAGTAGGGGAAATATTTGCAGGTTACAAACCAAAAGACCAGTTCAAAACTTACAAAAATCAAATGAAGAACTAAGTAAATAAAATTGAGATGGAGGGCCAGGCGATGCATTGTATCTGCAAGATGTGAGCTTTGGGCTCCATTGTGGTTCATAGCGACCACCTCTGTAGCAAGTTGCTTGAGGAACTCCGGTCTAGAGTTGACGAGCTGGAGCTTCAAACACTGTGACACATCAGGGAGGGGGAGAGTTACCTCGACGCTGTGTTTCAGGAGGCAGTCTCATCCCTTAGATTAACTACCTCAAATTTGGTTAGTGGTCAGGGATAGAAGAGCGTGACTGAATGATGCAGATAGAGGGATCCAGGAGGTAGAGCTGAAGGAGCCTCAGCTCTTGGAGATAGTAAGAACTGCCGATGCTGGAGTCAGAGATAACACAGTGTGGAGTTGGAGGAGCACAGCAGGCCAGGGAGCACCAGAGGAGCAGGAAGGTTGATGTTTTGGGTTGGAACCCTAAGGGTGTTATCTCAGTGTGACCTCTAACACTGTGTTATCTCAACTCTTGGAGCTTGTCTAAGGTTTGAGATTCTTACTCCCTATGTGGATGAGCATGGGACTGTAGGGAGCATGAGCAAACTGACCATAGCACTGTGATACAGGGAGCCATTCAAGTGGGGGGAGAAAAGAGAAATGTAGTTGTATAAAGGATAGTACAGTCAAGGGGATAGATACTGTTCTGCTTGGTCAGGATCGAGAGTCCCGAAGGTTGTGTTACCTGCCTGGTGCCCTGGTTCAGGATATCTCATCTGGGCTGCAGAGCATACCAACTTTATTTTTGGAGGTCGGTATATGCCCAAATTTTGGCAGCATTCCGTGGTGGATTTGCCAGTTAGAAGTTACATCTGTTAGTGCTAAGTTCCTAAGTTTGATCAAAAATGTGCTGCATACTGTACTAGATAAGCACAAGCAAGCACAAAGAGGAACTGGGCCATTTGGAAATTAAAATAAGCAGTCTAAAACCTGCTACGCACAGCCTGAGGTAGCCTAATTCTGAAGGAAAAAAAATCAGTAAAACTTGCAAATGGTACATATTGGCTTTCTCATCTTTTCTACTTCAAAATGGAGCCCCAGTACATTAATTTCCAAGTATTATTGATTTCTGACACAAAAAATAGAAATTGCTGGAGAAGCTCAGCAGGTCTGGCAGCATCTGTGGAGAGACCGTGGAGTCAATGTTTCATGTTCAGTGATCATCAGAACTAAATAGACTGGGACATTTTGCACTGGAACATAGGAGGTTGAGAGGAGACCTTATAGAGGTTTATAAAATCATGAGGGGTGTAGATAAGGTGAATGGCAGGTGTCTTTTCCCTAGGATGGTGTATTTCAAGACTAGGGGGATATTATTAAGGTGAGAGGAGAAAGATTTAAAAAGGACATGAGGGGCAACCTTTTTACACACCGTGGTTCATGTTTGCATTGAACTTCCAGAGGAAGCGGTGGATGCAGTTACAGTTACATGTTTAAAAGACATTTAGATAAGTACGTGGATAAGAAATGTTTGGAAGGATATGGGCCAAGTCCAGACAGGTGGGACTAGTTTAGTTTGGGATAATGATTGGCACGGACTGGTTGGACCAAAGGGTCTTTTTCTGTACTGAGTGACTTTGTCACTAGTAGTCGCCAGGAAAAGGTGGTGTATATGCTAAAGACAGGGTAGTAAATGAATGAAAGGTTAGGTGGAGATGGAGCCCAGAGGAAGAGAAAGACAGGCAAACAAAGAATCATAGAATCCCTACAGTGTAGAAACAGGCCCTTCGGTCCAACAAGTCCACACCGAACCTCGGAGCATCACACCCAGACCCATCCCC